TATCGCAGGCTGTAAACAAAGGAACATCAACCGGGTAAGCTAGGTGGGAAAAGAAAACCAAACAAGCATGAAGAGCTGTCACTTGTCACTTCGTACGCACATGTCCTACACGGACTCGGGGCAGTGTTTCACGGCACGTCATGCTGCAACTATGTAGGGACCACAACGCGATGATATCCCTACTACATCTGCAGACCATATGAATAGCATTCTAAAACCAACATTCGCATTGCTATTTTCTTAAAACACGAGCACACCCTGCTAGTCGCATGGACCTACAACTGCTTGAGCGGCGTTTCGAGCTGATGTCACAAGCGAGCTTGGGAAGGGTCTAACTTCGACGTCTCATCAATGGGGAACGGGCTAAGGGTCTTCGTACTTTGTGCTCCTACAGTCGATGCTACATGGACTGCTACTAGTGCCGAACACAGCAGACAGGGAATCCGGAATCTAGAACCTGGCATTGCAGGCATGGCAGATGAACCCCGAATGAGGGTCCCTCCTTTGCTCTTTCCATAATGGAAAGGTCGTCAGGTCGCTCTGTTGGCAAGAAAAAAAGCTTTGGTTGCCATTTGCAGTTAGGGGTTCAGGCTTTAAGGTAAACCTGCAGCCCTAAACCCCAAACACTGAACTATTTAGGGTCTACCTTAACCTACCAAACCCTACTTTGTTGTAGGTTCTTATTATGAACCCTAATATGGAGTTTATAGGGACCCTACAAAAAGTAGGGTTTGGTAGGTTAAGGTAGCCCTAAAGCCCAACTCCCAAAACAGCCTCCAGGTTCTGTCCATTCACGGAGGATTGGCTGGCGATCCTTTAGGGGCGTATAAGTATAGGGCTGTAGGGCTAGCGAGGTGTGTGATAATGTAAGAGCCTTTAAAATTAGAATAGGGTTCCTTTACAGGGGACCATAACGGCTACTATTATAAGGATTTGATATAGGGGCCTTAGAAATTAGAATAAGGTTTGGGGATATTTTGGACCGCAATTATTATAAGGAGCCCTCAAAACCCTATTTTAGTTATTAAGGCCCCTACATTAGGGTTGAGGTTTCGGGTGTATCCTCTCACACTCGGATTGGCCAGATGAGGTTCGGGGTCTACTGGGTGAGGACTGTTGGTTTTTGTGCTGGGGTGGCAAGAACTTATTTGTGCATCCTGGAGGGTCGGGGGTTTTGGGTCCCCTTAACAACCCTAAACCCTAAACCCTAAACCTGTAAACCCTAAATCCAGTTTGGGTTTGGGCTTCGGCTTTTGGGCCTCAGGCTCTGGAATTTGGGTCTGGGGTTCAGGGTCATGTGTCTTCCGGGGTCGGCTCATAATTGTTCAGGGTTTTGGGCTTGGGGCTTACGGCGCAACGTTGAAGTAGTCGAGAGTTTAGGGTTGAAGGGGTTGGTTGCATGCCTGATCCCTCGCGAGCGAGTTCACGATCATACAATGCTACAGGGGTACAACTCAATGGGTTTGGGGCTCAATTCGGAAGGTTTACAAGGGTTCTGTGAGGCTTGTATCAGAGCTCTATGAGGGTTCTGTAAGGGTGAAGTCTTTCAGCAACTACAGTCGCAGTGTAGATTTGCGCTCATGCAGCCTCGAACGTATCGCAACCGACAGTCGAAACGCGCATTACGCTACTTCTGCTGACGGCTTGCAGCTGCTGCTACTGTGCTGCTGCACACACCAATACTACTGCTGATACTGCTCTACTACGGCTGCCACTGCTACTGCTACGACTTTTGCAACTACTGCTGCGTTTTACTCGGTTCGGGTTAGGAAACCCTATAACATCTCGACTTCACTTCACTTCACTGATGCCAGAGGGGAGTCCTGTGCTAACTAAAGCATGCACGGCCAAAAACGATCCTGCTGTAGGATCGTAGCCAAACTAGAAAGAAACTAAGAGGGAGCCTGTACAAAACGAAAGGCCTCAGGCAGCCGGATAGGCCCAGAAAGCCCGCAAGGAAAGCGGGGGCGGGGCCGCAGGAGAAGAACCGGCAATGATGGCGCGAGCAGACGAGGCCAAGGAAGCAGAGCTCGCAGCCAGGAAAACAGGACCAGCAGGGGACCAGAAGTCCAAGAAGACGGCAGAAGGAAGCAGCCGCCGCAAGAGGACAAGGCCCTGTTGACTGGGGCGCCCGGGAATCCAGAGGGCGCCAAACCGCAGAACAACCTTACAGGACATGCGGAAGGAGATCAAGGCTGCAGCAATCCCCAACAGAGACCATCTGCCGGAGGTCGCATCGCCAAGAGACACAGGAGCACCAAGCCCGGAAGACGAGGCGCGACGGAGGACGCCAAGCGACCGGAAGGCCCGGAACTCCCAAGGGGCAAGGAGCTCCAAGGCTGACCACAGGGGCCAGAAGCAATGCCACGATGGGGGAAGCCGAAAGACCCCACCCATGGCGAGAAGCCCGGGCCACCAGGGTGTAGGCAGAGCCCAATCCTTGCCTGAGGCGGCCCCATCGACAAAGGAGAACCAAGAGGGCGAGGAACCCACAAATGACAAAGATGAGGCGAGGCGAGACAGGGAGGGCTCCGAAACTGGAGCCGTAGCTTGGAGAGATCCAAGTCCGGCAGGGGTTGGAGCAGCGATGGAGGACCCTGTGACGGCCCGTTGCAGGTTGCCGGGGACGAGGTCGGAGAGGGCCGGTGAGCGCTGCACTGTATCCCACTCCTGTTGCAGCTCCTCCTCATCAGCAGGCAGGCCCAGATCAGCGGCCCGACGCTGTGCTGGGGTGGCATTGCAGGGCCCGCATAGGCGTTGTGGGGGGAACACCCCTGTGGGCCGTTCTACCCTTGCGTTTGGTGCCCGACCCATATTGGTAGACAGGCCCTACCGTCACCCGAAGTCCATGCAAGCAGGCCCGGTGGGATTGCAGATGGTATTTCAGCCGATCCGAAGAGTGGAAATCGTGCATACACCAGAGGCAAACAGAGCCGGCCATGTAGGCAGTCACATCGGACAGCACGCCATGTTTGCGATGCATGTGGGCTCTGACCGCGTGCAGGCTCGGGAAGATGATGCTGCACACCGGGCATCGATGGGCCTGGGGGGGTCCTAGAATTTGGGTGGCCTTACGGGTAGAGAGGTCATCCCACAGCTGAGCACAGGCAAAGTACCTATGTCCAAACTTGCTGAGTGCCTTGCAGGCGCGAAGGAGGGCACGGCTGTGGGTATGAACAAACAGAACCGTGACGGCGGGAGGGGAGTTAGGGTCCCAAACTTCAAGCGCAACGCCAACCCTCATACATGCTGCAACGAGGGCCTGGCACCAAGGGAGGGCCCTGTTCCACGCCGCGTCGACGATTTCACGCACCGCCGTGGGTGCTTTGCAGAAGAGCTGGACGCAAAGGCGACACTGACTGATGGTAGTAGCCAGGTCAGGAGGAGTAATGTCAGCGAGGAGCCGAAGCAGTGGGGTGGTGAGCTTGTGCCCGACCTGCCACGAGGACAGCAGGATCCTGGCCGTGCGATCGAAGAGGCCAGCGAGAGGGGCCGTGGCACGGCCGGAGTCGGCCAGAGACATAGCAAGGGAGGAATACGCGGAGGGCAGGACTCGTCCCGCGACCCAAGCCCGTTTAAGTTCCCAGGGCAAGCAATTGCTGCAAAGGAGGGTGCGGGCAAGGGAGGCCGCAGCGGCGCCTCGTTGGGCGGCAAGCTCACAATCGCGGCGGCCCGTATCCCGAGGCAGCTGAGCCACACCCAGATACTTATACTCGGGACACAACCTGATGCTGTCAGAATCAGAGATCTTTAACATGGCATCGCCAGTAAGGAGAACTCCGCGGGCCGCCCGAGCGCCCTCCCCCCGGATGTCAACAAGGGCCTCAGTTTTACCCGCACCCAAATTAACACGAAATCGGAGGAGTCGGAGAGTGTCAAGAATAATGCCAACCAGCACGGGCAGTTGAACAAGAAGATCAGCTGGTCGGTCAAAATCGGCCATAACCGCCAGGTCGTCAGCCCAGCCGATGGGCTTGACCCCTGGGGAGAGGCCGACTTCAGCGCCGGCGCTGTTGTGAACAATGCCCTGGCGGGTGGCAACGCGCTGGATATGCTGAAGACCGACAGCGAAGAGGGCCCCAAAAAGGATATCAGCTAGGCCGTCACCTGGACGAGACCCCCGTGACGCAAGAAAAATGTTGGAAGAACCAGAGAGTGACCAGTGGGAGAGGGCGACGCAGTCACGGAGGAGCGCAACAACATCCTCTGCAACCCCCAAGGCAGCTAGGGCCCCTTGTTGTTGAAGGCTGAGAACCAGCCCAGCAAGGTGGTGATGCTCTGGCAGGGCAACGTCATCAGGAAAGCCCTCAAAGAGGAGATCCCGGCTGGCCTCATAGTACGCGGCCTGGATATCGACGAAGACCACGGCAACACATCGGCCGGCAGAGATGGAAAGGTCCCAGGCACAACGGAAGGCGGCCAACGCAAATCCTGTGTGGACACCTTTGCGGCCCCCAAGCTGCATAGGCTCGTATCGCGACAAGGGCCCTTCTTGTAAAGGGCGCATACAATGGCAGCCTTAAAGGCAAAAGGCTCCCTTCCTTGGAGAGCGATGCGCACGCACAGGGGCCAGAGCCACTGCCCTGCTGAGGCTCCCTGCGCGCGCCAGAGCTCGTTCCGCAGTCCGTCTGGTCCTGGGGCCTTGGCGGCCGCCTGTCGGACACACATTTGTTCCATCTGCAAGAGGGTGGGAACCGCCTCGGCGCACGGGAGGCGCGGTTCATTCATCCATCGCTCAGCGGCGCTGGAGAGCTGCACTGGGCTGACCAAACTGGCCCCCTCCTGATCACGGAACTGGGCCTCCAACTCACTATCAATATCGAAACCACCGGCTGCGTGGACAGACCGGCGCTCGTGTGCCTTGCGGGAGGCCCAACGCAGATGCCGGATGGATTCCAGAGGGACTCCAGTAGCTTCCCAGTGTTTGGTCGCCTCCAGAGTAAGTGTGCGGAAATGAGCCAGCTTGTCGGACCTAGCAAGATAGTGGGCCTTCTGCTGAAGCCCCCGAACATGAAGATTACAAGCCTGGAGAAGGAGGCGGGCATGCTGCAGGCCCGTCGGATCAGGGCGCAGGGGTGCAGCATCGGGGTGCCGATGTGTGCAACCCAGACGCCAGACTTGCAAGAGGAAGCGACGCTGCTGCCACTCCAGATTGGTCCGCAGCCGGGGGAGCTGTTCTCGCGCCTGCCGAACTCGATCGAGTGCGGCAACAGAGGCCGCTGTGATGTAGGGCTGTCGGATGGGGCGGCGTGGAGGGCGAGGAAGGGCCCGGAGCAAGCAGGAGTGCTTGGTCTTAAGAGCCTGCACTTCAGCTCCCACGCTGTCAATGTGCCGGAAGGTGGACGGCAGAGCTCCCCAGAGATCGGCAGCAATGGCCCGTGCCTGGTGCACAGTTGCGCGGGGTGGGGCCGGCGCTTTGGGCCGGGTGGCCTGGCCCCGAAGGTCGCACTCGACCAGAAGCGGCATATGATCCCGACGACCATTGAGAATGTCCAGCTCAGGAAGCTGTCGGGTGCGACGGCAGGACCAGGGGCCAGCCTGAAGCAAGATATGGTCTAGACGCTTGCGGGTGCCGCCAGTATGCTCCCAGGACCAGCCCGGGCCGTCCTGAAGGTCCGAGAAGGAGGCGGGGGCAAGGAGGCCAAAACGCTGGATGGTATCAAAGAGGCCTTGCTCGCCCGCGCCTTCTTCACCATTACCGAGAGCATCCCCGATATAGGCATGGTCGTCATCGGCCCAAAGGAGATCAGCGTTAGCATCGAGACCCAGGACTAAAGTGAGGGCCCGTGGGAGCTGGCACAGCTGAGATTGCAGTGAGGACCAAAAGTGGTGGATTTCGGGCACTGGTCTGTCGGCGTGTGGAGCATGCGCCGCTACAACGGCCAAAGGGAGGTCCGCCCGTTTACAGACTATGACTAAAAGTCTGGGGTCAGCACAGGCAATCCGCCAGTCATCCAGGCGGAGGGGGGGGTTAACTATCTGGGGCCTAACCCAAATTTCGCAACCGTAGCTACCTTTTTGGGCACCGGAGCGCCAGGTGAGAAGGCCGGCTGTATCCCATCGGCCCCCTTTGCTGCGCGTCTCCTGAAGGCAGACCACATCGAGGCCCAACTGGGCGACTTGAGAGTACAAGTATTGACGCCGCTGGCCATGACCCGACGGATTGAAGAAGGAGGCACAAGAGTCCCGCATGGTTTGAACGTTAGCCGTAACAATGCGGAGGGATAGCGAGGGTGCTAGCGGCAACGGTCGCTGGGGCTCTAGCGACGGAGCCGCACAGGGCACCTCGGCGGAAGGGCACTGGACAGCGGGCCCTCGACCTGCTGGTGCATGGGTAAGTGACTGCGCGGTGAGACGGATCCAGGGTCTGCCTTGGACCACCTTGGCATGTGGAATGAGCCAGAGCCAAGGCGCCGCTTCCTGCAGCAGAGCGGGGAGGGCAGCATCGACATGTTTCCAGGGATGCCACGAGGTCCGACCAGCCCAGCCAGCGAGAAAGTCGGCGATCGTATGTGCTGAAAGCGAGTGGACATACGGGACTGGACAGCCTGCCAGATATAACGAGTAAGGGTGGTGACTGGCTCACTGGCCTGCGCTTGCCCGGCCGCAATCTGGAGCGCAGAGGCATTGTCAACCGCAATGGTGACCTTGGCAGGCGCTGCTGACGTCAGAAGGGAGAGGCGGTCAACCCAAGCGAGGAGCCAGAGGCCCGCAGCCTGCAAGGCCCAAAGCTCAGCGTGAAAGGAGACACCACTCCCGGGGGCCGCAGTTCCAGATAACCAAGGGGTATCGGCCCCCGCGGCGCCGAACCACCCGACCCGGTGCCACTTGTGACGCCACCAAACCCATACGCAGAAGGCCCATGCTCCTCCCCGCTCGCCACTCCCATCAGTGGCGATGAGAACCTGATCGGGTACCCCGCCAGACCATACTGGGAAACTAGAGAAGGCCTGGCGATAAGGCGCTGGAGCGGATGCCGGGAGATTCTGGAAGAGGTCGTGCGTCCACCACAACTGGTGCAAGGAAGCCTGAGCGGCACACTCTTGGTGAATATCTGCCGCCCAGGAGAGTCCATCCGGGCTGTGCCAATCTGGCGCCCCCCATGCACGAAAATAGCAGCTGGTGCGGGAGAGCAACCCGAAATCCACTCCAATGGGCGAAGGACCTGGAGTCCGCGCAAGGGCATGAGTGGAGACCGGCGGGAATCCAAGGGCCGCCGTACCCGGAAACAACTCGGGCAGCCCAGCCAGAAGAACCCAAGCACTGAGAAGAGAAAACCAGTGCCGACCCAGACGCCCGCGAACGGCCAGACTGGCAAGCAACGGGAGCAAGGTGCGGGAGGGAGCGCTGCCCAGGGGGGAGCCGCTGTCACCATCCCGCAGGAGTCCATCTGCGCCATGGCGAGGCACCACTCGAACGCTGAGGGGGGGTCGAGCAGACAAGACATGGGCCCAATGAAGATTAGGGCTTTCAGGGACAAGATGGAGCCCAAGGTCGTCAACCCGGGCTGCTGGAATCCAGCGGCCGACACTGAACCGGACCAGTGAAGGGCGGAAGGTGCAATGTTCAGGATCCCACTGTTCATCACTGGTAGTGGGGACAGTAAGCGGGACCGGGTCTCCCGGGGACCAAGCAAAGAGGAGTCCAGGCTGCCTAACGCGAAAGGGGCTGCCCCAGAAGGCTAGCTGACGAGCCTGGAGTAGGGTTTCCCAAAACCGCCCGACAGGTGAGCGGAGGCGCGGGGCCCACGTGGCGCTGGCCAGAGTCAAGACGTCACCAGACCGGAGGAATAAGGTGGGGGTACAGGTCGTAGCAGTACCGCAGCCAAGACGTATGACAAGTCAGGAATAAAGTGGCTGCTGGCTCGTGCAAGATCAGCCACAGCACAGGTAGCGGGAAGAAGTGCAGCTCTAGTGGCAGGCGGGCACTGGAGCAGCACAGTGGCAAACAGCGGAGCCGAAGGTACCGGGACCCAATCGATGAACCGGTGGTCCTGAGGTGGTCGAACCCTGGTGAAATCGGACCAAGCGGGTGCGGCCTCCTGGAGAGCAGGTGGGACAAACAGAGATGGTCCCGGAAAAGGTCCAAGGAGGCCCCTAGCGGGGTCCCAGAGGCGGTGGCGAAAGCCAGGCGGTTCGGCAGCTGACCCGTCACAGTTTGACGTTGCCAAAGACCATTGTCGACTGCCGCCCTCGTGGGGAAGACGTGCCCCCGACACCGGGGGGAGAGCGAGCAGCCCAGCAAACATGAGAAGATAGCCAGGGGCCGAAGAGGCAGAGCCGAGTGCCCACCAAGCTGCAAGCCCCAAAGAGCAGGGGAGCCAACAGGAGGGGGAGAGTCCTGGACAGCCGGAAACAACATCGCCGCTGCGAAGGGTCGTCCCTTGGCGCAGTTCCTGGTGTGGGACACCAAGGACGCGGGGCTGAGAAGAGATAGATGGGAGCTCAGTCCAGAGTTGCCAGGCATCGGTAACGGCTGTGACAAGGGCACACCAGCAATGGCCGTCTGCTTCCACAATGACATTGACCCTCGAAGGGTCCTCCGGCAGCAAAACCAAGTGGGCGTGATCCTGGGCGATCCAGGGAACCGGAACCCAACGCCCAGGGTAGTGGAGGCTAAAGTCACCATCAAAAGTATAATCAAGAGCACGCCAGCGGCTGCCTGCCGGTGCGTGTCCCCGGATGGCTCGAACAGCAGGCCTCCAGAGTATGAAGTTGACACGGGTGGAGACCGAGAAATCAACAGCCCAAATGGCGCAATGCCGCACTTGAGCGTCGGAATGAAAGCACGGGGGCTGGTATTCGGGCGCAAAAGCTGCAGGAGGCAATGCAACAACCAGGTCTCCAGATCGCCAGCGCACGCCTTGGTCAGATGTGGCATCGGCTGTGAGAGCACTGGGTGCACGAACCGAGAGAGTTTGCATCGGCTGTAGGAAGCGGAGAGCCGCGCCCAGCCAGGACACAGAGGTAGTGCAGGGCACAAGGATAGAGAAGTGCCGATCCAAGGAGGAGACCGCTAAACAGACAAGGTCTGGCGTCAGGGGACGGGGAACAACCAGTAGGGCCGGTATGGCAGCTGTCGGCCACACAGGTGCAACTTCAGCACCCCAAGCTGGGTCGCAGGAGCGTGTGAGAGCATTGAGCTCTCCGGTAGTCGAGGCAGTGGGCAGTCGCCCAGCCTCCTGGGGACCTGTGAAGGGACTAAGAAGGACAATGTCAATCTCTGTGCGGTTGGTGAGATCAACCAGATCAGCCGCAGCGGCTGCGGCCCGCCACGGGAAGAAACCCACACGAATTGGCTGTTCCGGCAAGTCCAGTGCGGGAGCCATACCCTGACCGGCACAAACCAAGCAAGCCAGGGCGAGAAGCCGGGGCCATCTGGCCGAAAGGACCGCAAGCCAAGCCCAGCGACCAGAGATGGCGGCGGCAGCAGAAGACGAGGGCCCCCAGCATGGGCGCGCAACTGGGCCCGGGGCCGGACCCGCAAGGCTTTGCGGGGGCGGTCCGGTAGGGTCCCAAACCGTATCAGCAGTCGGGTCCAGCACGAGGACATCTCCATCTCGGAGAGGACTGTCTGCCCGAACGTACTGCAGAGCAGGTAGAAGGCGCCACCCGGGTGGTGCACGGTAGGCATTGCAACCAGCGAGCAACAACCCCTGAGGCTCAAGATCGGGGGGCAGTAAGAGAAGGACATGGGCCTCACCAGTGGAGGTGCTGTGTACCAGGTGCAGACTGGAGAGATCCCCAGAGAGGACAGGGACCCACGACCCTGACAGCGCTCTGCCATTAAGACTCCAGAAGGTGGGGCCCTCGGGATCCCAATAGCCGGTATCCCTGATCCGGATACTGTGGCCAGATCGACGGCCCGTGTACCACAGGCAAACGTAGCCGCCCGAGTCAAAGCGAAAAGGGAGCGACCAGCTGGCAACTTGCCGTGCCCGGTCCAGAGAGGCATACTGCAGCAAGGGATAACGGGTAGCACCCGGATCGGAAGGCTCGGGAAGGAGGCTAAAAGCATCGCCGTTGCGGAGCCGGATATGCGCATTCGGGATGGTAGTGCGCAGCACAGGTGGTGCTATGACGCGCCAAAACCGGGTGTGAGGAAAGACGCGAACAGCAAGCCGGTGAATGTCATCGAGAGACGAGTCCACCGAGGCAAAAGCCACGGCCGAACAACCTTCAATGTGCAGGGCCACAGTAGCAAGACCGTAGGGGGCAACCGGAGCGACTGTGATCTGCGAAATTGGGAGCACCGCCCGGACAGGGAAGAAGCGATGGGCCCAAAGCCCGCAGTGGCGCGTACCTTCCTGCTCGATAGACCGCCATGATCTTGTCGTGTCAAGGAAGCTGGTCTCGCTCCAGCCCCTCAGGGGGCACAAAACACGAGCCGTGAGTGGTCGGGGACCAGGGAAGTAACGTGCGAGTGGGCCATCAGGGCTATCGGGCTGCCAGCCACCTAGCGGAACATAGGGCTCCCCATCATTGAAATCGATGGCAGGGGGAAAGAACCTTCCAGGCCAGGGATAGGAGGGTGAGCGACTTCTGCTGGGCCGTCGCCTAGTTCGAATGGTACGCGCCTCGGAAGAGTCCGCGCTGGGGCAGCGGCCAGAGGCACTGGAGGACGCTCCCCACACAGGTTCAAGAAGCCCGAAGAAGACAAGAGCGAGTTGGGCAGGGAGGAGAGGGCGCCTCCCCAGGAGACCGAATGCAGCAGAAAGAACCCACCAGTCTCCGTCCCTGGTCTGAGCAACCTGACAAGCCCGGCTGGAGGCAGGTCGAAGGGAGTACCCGGCAATATAGAAATCATGCGCAGCGTCCCGAGCGGTCTCAACACACCTTGTGGCCCCACTAGACTGAATAATATTGGCATGCCCCTGAGAGGGAGACTGCTCGACGAGCCATGGGGGAGCGCCGAGATGTCCATGGCAGGGGGCCCAGCGGTGGTGGCCAAGCTCAACCTCATGATGTAGCACTGTAGCTGCCGCTGCGTCCCATTTGGCCTGATGGCCCAGCAACACGACCCTAGCGGAACGGCTAGGGGACCACAGAAGCACACAGGAGGCTTGGGCCACCACAAAATCAGAGTGCCAGGCCGCAGCAGCATGGGCAGCACCCCATGTCAAGTACACCGGGGGGTCCAGTTGGAGAGGGCAGACAGCTAGAACGTCCCCAGAACGGAGTGCGAGGACTGGCCGATCAGAGTGAGCGGTGGCCCCCAATCCGGGCTGGAGTTTAAGGCTCACGCGACGGCCAAGCCTCATCTGGAGGGCCTGAGTGAGGTCTCGAGGGGTAAGGAAGGACGGCAGGATGACACAGAGCATCTGACCTAAACCCAAGGCAATAAGGCAAACCAGCCTACTTCCCGGGAGAGGGACAACAACCTGGGACCCTTCTAAAACCAGGCCAGTGGCAGCAAATCCCCGGTGCCATGATGTCAAAGTGCGGTGGGCGTCTGCCATAACATCATCGAAAAGGTGACGTGGGTCGGCCTCAACACGATGCCATGGCGCAAAAGGGTTGGCAACAGTGACCGAGACCCTGGGTGGGGCAGCTGGTGGAATAACCGAGGATGTGGTCTGGCTCAACACCGAAGTTTCCGGAACCATAGCTTGCGCGCCATGTAGGCACCAGGTCAGCATAAGAAGACGGGAGAAAAAGCCGGAATGAGCCCCAAGGGAACCCAGCAGAATCGAAAGAAAGGTGCCCGTACGACAGGAGGAGAAAGCTGGGACGAGGCCCAGGGCCAAACCCCACAGAAGTGGACGGCCGCTGCAGGCCCCTCGGGCAAAGTCGCCGAACACGACATCCCCATTCCGAAGCTCACAGGCCTGATTGAGAGCGTAGGAGGGAACTCCCCCCACTTGCAGGGATCCAGGGAGGAAGTGCAGTTGATCGGCAAGGCTATCGCGCGAGGCGATCCGATCAACGGTACGGCAGAGGCGGCCTTCGGGAGAGGCAGCAACCACGTTAACCTGAGCCGCAACACCATGGACCTCGATCAATTGCAATGCCCGGGCACCGGACCACTGAACGGGTGTCCACATGCCCGGAAAGTGGTTACGGAAAGTGCCGGTGAACGTAAAGGATTCTGGGCACCAGGCTTCTCCAGCTGAGACAGAGGCCAACAGGGGTGGGCGATTGGGGCGAAGCAGGTGCACAGAAATGCCGAACATAAGTTGAAAGCCCGTAGCCCAGGGAGCGTGGTGAGCTGCAAGGCCATCCTGCAGGTGCCAAGGATCGACAAACTCGAGCGGCTCAGAAGGGTCCTCCGGAGGGTCATGGATGTACACGACATCGCCGTTGCGAAAACGGAAAGCCGCGGGCGGAACATCAAAGAGCTCGCAGATCGCGAGCCCGTGCGGCAGGGAAATGCCATCAACGGGGCTATTGATGTGACGCGAGATAAAGGCTGTCAACCACGCCACTGTCATGGTCCGCGGAGTAAGCGTGGCCCTATGGTGGCCCCGCCACATCAGCATAATGGTCACAAGGGCCGCATCTTGTCCCACCGGGACCATGGACAACTCGTTGAAGGCGGGGCCCGGCCACACGGGAAAGAAATCAGATGCCCATCCCGGGTCGTCGTTGAGGAACTGAGCCCAGACTTGACCGTGGCGAGTGTCATGGGAGGCTGTGTATGGGGGAAACACCCCCAAGAAGGGACTATGCAGAACAACATAGACCGGGTCCTCTGCCGTAATGGCGGAAAAGTCACGGTTGATTGGATCGGTACCCCAAGGAAATCCACCTGGTCTATGCATGCCTTGTGCTAGAGCAGCGCCAGCAAGGAGTCCGAGAGAAAGGCACATTGATGGGGTAAACCGGCAGAAGATCAGTGAGAAACAGCCCCAAGACAAAACGGGGCGACCTTGTGAGGAGAAGGGGATGTCGGGACTGCCGGCAGCAAGTTCAGCTTCGCTGGTCAGGGCAGCAAAGGCGGCGACTTGTTCCGGCGGAGGAGGAGACCGTGACTGAGAGCGGGGTCGCACAGCCAGACAGTCGCCATTGCGGAACTGGACGACCGAGGACCCTTCCTGAACCTCAGGGGGGCGAAGATCGTACTCACTCCCGTCAAGCTGCAGAGCACGTAATGCCGCGGTCCCAACACAGACCGGGAGACAGCAGGGCACAAGGCGGCCTTCCAGCACAATGCCGACAGCTGCGTTCCCAGGTGCTTGCGGACACCCGATAAGGTGTACAGCAGTAGCATCAGGCTGCGGTTGCAGGAGCACAATATCGGCCCAACCCCGGCTGCGGGCGTGTCCCCTGAATAAAACAAAGGGATTGATCTCAGGGCCAGCAGAATACTCAACAAGCTCGCATTGCTGTCGGGCGGTGAAGGGATTGTGAATGCAGAAGGGGGTGCCAAGGGGAATAGCGGCAGCAAAGGTCCGCAGGCCTCGTTGAAGACCAAGCAAATCGGCTTGAACACGGCGGACAGTGTCCTCGTCCGCGGCGGGCTCCCTTTCAACTGAAGACGGCCAGAGGCCTAGCGCATAGTCCTCCAGCGGCCGGGCGGCGCGGAGGAACCACATACGAGGCTGGAAAGGAGCATTGACAGGCTCTGGTGGTGGTGGGCCGGCAGGTCGAGAGACCGGGGTGGGCTCAGCGGCAGACATGTTGAAGGCTTGGACAGGTGGTGGGCCTGCATCCTCGGACTGTTCGTCATCTGAACTAGCAGGCGGCGCACTGATAATCGAACCTGCACCTAAGGTTGCGAGGACAAGGAGGCGCCCGAAAGCCGAAGGTCCAAATAAACCCCGAGTGCAGACTAAGGAAAGAACAACCACCGAAAGCCTATCCTGTCGCCGGCAGTTCGACACACTCGCAATATCGAGCAGATCAACAGTGGAGGGGCTGACCGCAGCACAAGTACTTTGCGAGGCGAGACGCAGAACAGGTTGCGATTCCCCAGCCGGTTCTGCATCCGGTTCAGCAAGTCCGGCCCAGAGTCGTGAAGTGTGAAAAGAAAGCTCCTGAGACAGCATGTGAACTCGGGAAACCGTAGCATGATCAAGGCCGGTGCCATTGCCTGAGAGGTCCGTTTGGACTTCCTGGTCAATCAAAGGCACATGCGATGCGCCGGCGGCACGTCGGTTCCCGTGGCCATCGAGGAGGATGGCAGGTTCTAGCGCTGGACCCCTACTCGGAACATGCCGGAAGTAAGGTCCCTCAACCACCAGGGGATCCGGGTTCCAAGGGTCATCATCGCCCGGGATCCTTGCAAGAGCACCAATCAAAATCTGAATGACAGCTCCGGATGGAAAATCAGGCAAGGCAACTCCTGGCGGGTACAGCTGACCGGCGTAGGAGAGAGCGGGGCTCCGCTCTGGTAAATGGCCCCCCGGGAAGAGAGCTCTGAGATGGGCAGAGACGACATCCCAACTAAAGGGCGAATGCCCGAAAGTAACAGCGGCAGCGTCCCCCCAGTGGAGCAGCCAAAACCGGACCGTGGGTCGCGTAGCAGGAACGACCGGCACGAAAAGGACATGCTGGACGGAGCTGTCCGTAGTGGAATGTGTGGGCCGGAACTCACCGGGATCGTCAATATGGTGAAGACGGCACATCAGCTCTCTCAACCAACGGGTCGGGTAACCCTGAGGACGCCATGGTAGGTCAACGGGTGCATTAATGTTGAGAGTCCAGATGCGAATGGTTGTCGGAGGAGGCGGCGAAGCCTCAGCGACTGGGGCCAGAGCAAGGAGTTGGGGAGGTTGCATAGAGGCCACGTGGCGGCAAAGCAGGAGCAACGCGAGACTGCCGAGAAGCGAGGGGAGCCGAGCCCGGGCAGCGACAATCTTAAGAACTCCATCAACCAGTTTACCCTCTAATCCCGGAAGAACACTAGTAATAAGTGCCCGAGCCCCTTGCGGGCAGGGAGACATATGGCGGACTTCGGCAGAGGGCTCAACGTTATGGACAGCCCCATCCGGCTCCACAGCGCAGAAGAAGAATGAGCAATGGGAAGTGTAGTGCTGGACCACCGGTCGGAGAAGCTCGCAACCGATTGAGTCACGCAGTATCCACCAGCCATATGGTGAAGGCGGGGAAACGATGAGATCAAGCACTTGGGGGCTGGAATCGAAAGCGACGTGCAATCCGTACTCGCAGTCTGGCAAGAAGGCGCCAAGGTAAGCACTAAGATGCTGATGGAGGTGGCGTGCACCAACCCTCAAGTGGACGGGGCCTTGCCCGGGAAGCCAAAGGTGCATCTGCACTTCTGGGTGAGGTGAAGCGCCAGTAACATACGCGCCAAGTTGAGGTGCTGAAAGGGCGAACCCGTGCGTCTGCCGGGCAAGCTCGTGAGTCCAAGACATGGTGCAGGGCCGTGAAAAGTCGCGACGAGTTTGCAGTGTCTCGGATTCCGCGAGGCGAGAGAACAAGGGAGCAGGCTCAACCATCACGCGGACTGACACCACAGGGAGAAGGAGGCTGAGAGCACACAAAAGCGAGTACCGCCGCAAGCAAGGCAAGCCAAGAGCAGCAGAGGCCAAAGGGCCCGGGGGCGGTGGCGGGCTAGGCGTCTCGGCCTCGCAATTACGCACTAGTTGGGAGACTCCTTCAGGAGAGTCGTACCCAACACTGACACACTGCATCGCAACGCCTGTGATGTCACGGGGAAATGGCCAAACACGGCTGTCGCTGGACAGAAACGTTTGTGGTAGCTCCCAGAGGGACAGGGAAAGGGCCTGTGCAACAGCTTCCCAGGAGGGGACAGGGGTGCACATACCGTAGAGTCGGCTCCCCTCTCGAAGGGCCCACACGGTGAATCCGGGCAGACATGCAACCAGGCACTTGACGTGCCATGCATCGCACCAGAGGTCAACGAGTTCGGACGCAGAGTCAGGTGTGACACCGGCACCGCAAACAGACGGGGGTGCCTGGAGTACAGCAGCCGGCGTGCTGGCAGAAATGAAGGGGGCGTTAGTTTGGGAACCTATACTATGGAAAACCCGAGCCCTAGGGGGAGGGAGGGGCGGAGGCGTGCGAACAAGTCTCGGCTCCCAGCTGAGGCTCAAAAGGTGCTCCCGGGCCCGTGCAAAGTCAGCCTGCACATGGACATGCCAGTAGCGACAGTCAGCTCGACCAGGAAAGGAAGTGCATTCCCAGGTTAGAACAGAGAGGCCGAAGGGCTGCAACCTTCGAAGCAGAGCAGCGGCGGGGCGGTTGCTGCGAAGAAGACTTTCCAAAAAGGCCGGGAAAGATTCAAAGACGCCGGAAAAGGCCAAGTGCAGACCCACAGCAGAGGGGTCAGACGCATCAGTCACCCGATATGTGACACAGTCCTGGCCAGGGAAGGCAGCGACGAAGGCGGCATGAGGGAGAAGGTCAGCTCCGGGTAGCGCAACGAAGACATGCTGGCCTGGGGTAACGCTGCGCAACAACGCACCCAGCACAGAAGTATCAAGGTCGCAAGCACGCGGGACCTCGAAAGATAACACTCCAGCCACAGGATGAAGCAGCGACACGATTCGGCCTTCCTGAAGCCAGCGCGATGCAGTGCCAACATTGTGTGGAATAACAAAGGCTGAGACATCGAGGGTGCGCGCCTCAGTGTTGACACGCACTCGTACCACGTCGCCTTGGCGAAGCCGATGTGCCGTGCCCCGAAGGATCTGGACGTCAGCCGAAGCAGCCGCGAACTGCGCAGCCTCAAGAACATGATCAGCACTGTATTCCTTGGGCAGCTCAACACAGACAACCTCTCTACCTAGGTCCAGAAGAACAGTTAGGGTCTCAGGGCGGGACGGGAGAGCCACAAGGTTAACCGCCTCAAGAGTAGGGCCTGCAGAAGCAGCAACAATCTGAGGGCGACCTATTCGGATGGCCTGACGGTAAAGCTCGGCGGCAGCATCGCGAGCACTCTCAGTGTTGGTAAACTCAAGGCGGACCGAAGATCCGGGCCACCAAAGGCGGCAAGTAATGAGAAACACCTCACTGGCGGAGGGAAGAACCGACCAAAGCGGTCCATCACCAAAGTCGCCAACCTGAAGCCACCTGGCCTGTAAATGCGTGTGGGCACCTGCTGGTGCCGCAACCTGACGGTCAGGAGCCCTATTAGCTGAAACCACAACATCCCTAGGAGTGGCAGGCGCACTGTGCATCTGAACGGCATGACCAGGCATCCCACAGGAGATGACGAGGCACGCACCCCAAGCAAGGAGGCTCCCGACGCCATGGTGCGGCCCGTGCAACACACAAGCAGCCAAAAGAATACCCCGAGTGCCGCTGAATTGGCTAACGACCGATGAGGAAGCCGAGCCAGGCTCGGCGGCCGGCACCAAGGCACTGGGGGAAGTGGTGTTGAGAAACTCAGACGGGGTGACTCCAGTGCAAGCGGGCATGGCAGTAGACGAGGAAGCCCTAGCAGGGGAGGGCAACAGGGTGTGCTGCAGCGCAGAAATGGTGTCAGAGGTACCCGGGGTGTCCCAGCCGCCTACCTGGTCCTCCGAAGAGGAGGAAGAGTCTTGACGAAAGACATGCGGGAAGAACATGACAACAATCGGGACACTGCTGGTGAGGACCTGATCTGGTAATACCGCAAGCTCTCGATGGAGGAGGCCGAACCCGCCACGGGCGCACTGTTCGACCCACTCGTGGGGGAGGCTGCTGCGGTCCCGTCGAGAAGCAACCGTAACAGCCGCAAGAGCAGTAACAGGAGGAGGAACGCAAACAGTAGTCAGCCTCCAGCCAACTGGACGGAAATCGAGAATGCAAGGTACCTCATCCCTAGTACAGTGTACCTCCATGAACTGCACAAGGGGAAGGGAAGGGAGCGGATGCCAGATGCGGAGGACCCCCCCACAAGCACTGGGAGATGCCCTAGTAGACACAATACGTCGAAACGTAGCGGCGTCAGCAAATACCGGGGCTTCGACATACACCAGTCCATTAGGGGTGATAAGGACAGCTTGGTTATGCGAGTGGCCCGGGAAAGCTTCGTGGGCTGAGGGTGCCGTCGGGAGGCTCACCTGCATGGCCGAGAACAACGAAAGGGGGGGGTCCAAAGAAGCACCGACAGGTCCTTGCAGCGCATCAGCAGCTGGGCCAATATGAAATTGCAGAGTGTCGACGTCCTGCAGAAGGAGGGGTTGGGACATCAGCGTCAACCAACCCCAGGGGCACTTAGCAAGCAGAAGGTCAACTTCAGTCTGCATCGTCTGAGCCGCGAGAGCAAGGACCGCAATGGCTCTGCAAGTAGAGTCACGGGGGCACACAAGCATGCATATGCGGCCTCCTAGCGGACGGAGGTCAACGGGCAGCCAGACTTGACGCCATGAACAGGCAGCCGGAGTGAGAAGAAGCTGCTCACTTGGCAGGCCGGGAAGGACCCCGCGGATGGCTGAGACAGAGAAGACACCAGCAGGGAATCCCAAGGTGGCAGCAAGCCGGGCATGCAAGAGCGGCCCATGCAACCATTCGTCAACCAGGAAAGGGACAGGGCAAGGTTCGAGAATGGGGGCTCCAGGCGGTGTACCCACAAAGGCAGCAAGGTGCCGACGACTGCGGTCGGTGCGTGGGAGAAGCAAGTTACCCGTGCGGCCGACAGGGTAAACCTCACACATTTCCTCAGCAGTAGGAGTGGGCAGAACCGGCCCCGTGCTGAGGACAGGGAGGCCCTCATGAAAGCCGTGGGCATGTAATTGCACAGCAGTGGAGGATCTCAGCCCCCAGGAGGAGACAACCGCCGCGCCGAGGTGGAGAGTGACGCCATCGGCAACTGAAAGGTAGAGCAGCAGAAGCGTCATCCTCAGGCAGGGCCCACTGTTCCGACACGGACGCACTGGAATACGGTGCCTAGCTCCCCGAACCTTAAGACCCGCAGAAAGGACCCCAGCACCGCACGCCACGCCAGGTTCTCCAAACACAGCAGCCCTGAGGCGAGTGACCCATGCCAAAGGCAGGACGAGCCCGCAAGCACAGCGCCAGTGATGCGAAGCCCAAGACAGGGCAAGGAGGGCGTGGGGGTAAAAGTCCATACCCCAACCTGGGAGGAAGGCAAGAAGTTCACTGATGCCTGCGCACATCATCATGGCAAAGGGCGGGCACACAGTTGCCGCAGCCCACCACGCGGAGGCAGAAAGGGTGCAACCAAGCTGCCAAGAGCGTTGCCAGGACAATCTGGGACCGTAGGCCGAAAAGAACCTTTCAGTGACAGCCGAGACTCTACGTATGGCTATACACACTATGATGCAGCGCCCGAGGAAAAGGCTGACCGTGATCAAAATAAGGTGTGAACAAACACACCCTATTTGAGCACGATCAGCAGGGCAAACTGCTGCAAGGTCGGAGCCGTTGCAGAGCGGCTGGTGTTCTCGCCGATTCACTCTAGCTCCGTGGGGTCCGCAGAGTCGGTCACTCGGAGGAAGGGTGATGGCATCCGGAGCAGCACTTGCACTCTTGAGTCCTGTGACGCATCTTTTGCAATAAAGCCACGGATCGGGGCGTCGGCCTCGAGAAGTAGGTCCGGGAAGAGCCACTCCTGTGCTGTTGAGGGCGCATACGAGAACGGGTCCACAATCCTTCCCGCAGTCAAGTGAGCAGCCACAAGAAGTCCCTGCCTGGCAGACGGAAGGGCATTGGAACACAACCAAAGCTGCTGCATGACCTCTCGCAGATCTCGGTGAAGGGACTGGAGATGGGCCAGCTCCGGTTTGGCCACCGCACGCAACATGCCTTCCCAGACAGCTTCGGCAGCAAGCGCTACAACCTCCTGGGCCTGTGCATCCACAGTGAGTGGCAGGGCTGCATCTTGACGTGAGCATTGCCTCAGTTCGCCGATCAGGTCCGCTCCGTTCTCGGTGCAGAAATGGAGCATAGCAAGCCACGCCACCGTCCAAGGACTCGTACTGTTGGACGTAGGGTCCGGGATGAGCTCGGGGCCGTCGTCGACCACAGCCACTTGCGGAGCACGTTGCACAGAGTCGGGCGTACGGCCCGTCGCTTCTCTTGTCCAAGGTGGTTCCACATGATCTCGCCTGGGGCTCTTCGAGGGCCGGTCGGAATGGCCTGCACTGCGCTTCCGCCATCGCCCAGAGACCACGGTCGGAGCGATAGACCCGAAGCTCAAGGAGTCGGGCTGCCCAAGGACTGGGGCTGCCTGGGGTAGCTCGACATCCACCACTGCACCTCTGTTTGCAAGAGGAGTGGAGGTCGGGGTCATCCCAGGCAGGTCGCGAAGTCCAGTTTGACCAAAACTGACATCGGAAGCACCGTCCTGCGCCAGGACAGGGCCGGAGGGTAGCTGCGGAGGCTCCATGGCGAAGAGGGCGTGCGGTCCAGGCTCTGTAGGTAGGGGTGCAGGAAGCACTGTTCCAAAAGCCTTGAGGCCTGCAGCCAACTGCATCACCACGTGTTCCTGCGAAGGGGACCAAATAGGGCCCATGGTCTCCTCCGCCTTGACAACCTGAGCCGTAGTGAGCTCCGAAGGCTGTGCTGCCAAAATATCCCTCATCTCGGCGGCCGCCACAGTGGTGTCCTCGTCCAACTTGCTGCCCAGCGCCCTGACTTGGGTAATAAGCCCGACCAGGCGTTGGCTCACAAGCATAAACCACTGCTGTAGCGCTGTCGCCAGCTCCTCTTTCGCACGCATGTTGCCGGATAGGCGCTTGGATAGACGATTGGCAGCGTTGGAACGGCGCTGGAATCGCTGTTCCGCTGTGGCTTGAGACTCCAGCACCGCTGCAGGACCCCACAGATCCTGCGTAGACCTGTTCTGAATAGATTGCAGAGCCGAGACAACACCTTGGGGAAGTCCGAATTCCACTCTGGAAACCTGCTGGGCATCTCCCTTGCCCTTGCCTTTGGCTCCAGCTTGTTGTGAGGCAGCAGATTGACCAGGATTTTTGGGAGGCATACTTCCGTGGTGGTGAAGAAGAAGTCGTATGTCCCTGGCCTGGAAAAAGCCGCTGCGCAACCTCTTCCTCGCGAAGGCTCGCTGCCTTCGGGCACGTCTGTGCCACGGAGGGCTTGATGCACGAGACACTCTCTTGCCCGTGCTGGCCCCAAATAAGCAACCAGATGCCAAGGGCAGCTAGCGGAAACAGAGGGCCGTACCGCCTAGGGGCGGTCATGCACCTGGAAAAGTCCAGGTGGGGGTAGTACCTGACGGCCAATCGAATGGCAGCGTGAGGAAAACCCGAATACCAGAAAAACCAGTGAGCAGCCGCCGCCCAGGGAGTGCCGCTATCGCGCAGAGCGCTGGGGTCGGGAATACGGAAAATACAAAGGCAACTCCAAAGGAGACGCCCCGCTACTTCCGCTCGAGCCGCGACGCCTAAACCCTAAAACCCTAAATCCGAAACCCCCCTAAACCCCTAAAGCCCTAAACCCGAAACTTCCCTTAAACCCCTAAAACCCTAAACCCGAAACCCCCCTACACCCCTAAACCCTCAAACCCGCCTTAAACCCCCGAAACCCCTTAAGTGCCTTGTAGGAGCCTCCAGAGCAGCCAGATCTTTCGGAGAACATGCCGCGGCATCGGACCTTCGGGGGCGAGTGGGCTTAGGGCTCTTAGGGGTTTGAGGGTTTTTGAGGGTTTTGAGGGGTTTGAGGGGTTTGAGGGTTTTATGAGGGGTTTAAGGGTTTTGAGGGTTTAGGGCTTAGGGCTCTTTGGGGTTTAGGGTTTTGGGGCTCTTCGGGGTTGAGGGTTTAGGGTTTGGTACTCGAATACGAATCTTCGGGTTCAGGGCTTAGGGCTTTCAGGGTGGAGGGCCTAGTTGCGAGTTTAGGATTTTAGATTGAGGGTTTCGATTTTAGGGTGTCCACTTGCGGAGGTCGAATCGGGGTTTTGGGGTTTGGCGGTGGTGGGTGTTGGTGTCGAGAGAGAAAAAATCGGGGTTTCTGCAGAGCGTTTAGGGTTTAGGGTTAATCCCTAAACCCCATCTATGACACTTTCGAGTTTTCACAGGCTTGACTGCGAGAAGCGACGGGCGGTCAAACGTTTCGTTGTGGGCCTCACAGAGTGACAGCGGCATTGCATCATGTGATTGTGGAAACATAGAGAACCGCTCAACGATATCCGAAGCCGGCGCATGCTCATTGAGTAGCGCCTCTGGTGTGGCAGCTAGAGACGTGGGGCGAGTCTAACAAGGATTGCTTGTTTCAGGTCGACAGCCTCAACAGAAATACATGTCTGCAAAGCTTTGCTGTGGTTCTGTCCGTCCTATGCCGCACCCCCACTATACAGCTACCCCGAGGCCCAAACAAGAGTGCTTCGCTAACACTGTTGATTTTCGCAGTGGCGTCGTCAAACGGTCCACAGTTACATCATTCGATCTCAGATTTGGCAGGAGGATGTGGGATGTTGTCCGCAAGCCCTAAACCCGTACCACGTAGACCGATCTCTCTGCATCACGGGATATGCTATCCCACCGGACCTTGCCGAAAGGATACTATCAGCTCCTGCAGTGTCAAACCTTCGGCAGCGCAGCCGGAACATGAGGACTCCCAGCTGAGAGGCTTAGCGATTCAGATGTGGGCGGATGCCTAACAGTGTTTCGGGGTAGAAAGGTTGGCCCGGGATTCGGGATTGGGGAGAACTAGTAGCTCGTCGAGCAATGTCACCGACTGCTTCGACGATCGGGCGAGCTGTGTGGCCTTTAGGCTTCTTGCAACCTGAAAGCCCGGAGCCCTCAGATCCTAAGAAGCCTTCTCCCTTAAAATTCGTTCCAACATGTATCCGAACTTGCCACCCCTACATCCCAAACCCTAAACCCTAAACCCCCGATCATCCGATAAAATTGGCAGAGAAGATTAGCATTGCCCCTGCGCAAGGATGACACCCACAAATCGAGAAGTGTACCAAGCATTAAAAAAACCTTTCAAGCCCCCAAGTACGTTCAGCCGTCGATCAGAGGACTGCAGTGAGGAGGTCTGTGTCCTTCCACAAGGCTCCCTTGGTCCCAGAGACTCCAGTATTCCTTAACTAAGGCATATCACTTAAATTATATTAGGCGTCCTATTGTGATTTAAGGTACATTCCTCAAGTATGGGATGTTGGAGTCTCTGGGGTAGGGTTCAGGGTTGAGTGTTTGGGCTTAGGTCTGTGGGCATACCTAGGTTCCTGAAATTTTGGACATTCATGGGTTTTTAAGTTTTTTTGGTTGTTGGGATCCGGGATTTATTTGGGATTTCTGGCAAAAGTCGGGCTTACGGCTTAGCATTCGGGTGCAAGGTTTCTATAAGACACGTATAAACTCAAGCGGTATGCTATCGCGCCATACTCTTACCATGTGACCATGTGACCCCCCCGGTTGACCTGGTGTGCTGTTTCTTTCCCTCTCCGACTGGCTTGTAACTGGTGTGATCACAATTTTTTTACGGCAGTGAAGTTTCATGTATACGGTACTACCGTCGATTAGTTCACACTGCGCCAACTCATGTTGGGACGTGCACCAATGGTCGCCGCACCGTAGCAGTTTACCATACTTCTTTTAGCATCTCATGCCGTGGGATTTGACCTCCAGCAGTGCAGTGTAACAGCTACGCTGAATGACTGAATGGTCTGCGCTAGAAGCTGGAGTCGACTGTACTCGTTTGATCCAATTGTCGAAGGCGTTGTGTGTCCGCTCCATATCCTGAGATCTTGTATTCATGCAGTGGCAATGCAAGGACTGCCGACTTGGGCTGAGCATCCAAGTTATGTTCGATTTGAACTCGGAACCCCAACCCCAATACACAACCATACCCATACCCGAAGAGGGATGGCACGGTCGGAAAGTCTTCGACTCTTAAGTAAGTGCAAATAAGCATATAGAACATGTGTGTAGCTGGATGAGAGCTTCCAGTTTCACAATCCTGAGCAGCATGACATTGGCATCTTTTGCTTGTAGGCGGATGTTCCCGACAGTGATCTCCTTGACGATGGGACAGGCCCGGCAAGCGGTTTTGAGGGAACGTAGTTGCATCGAGATCTTTTGCGGACGTAGAATTGAGAGCCATTGTAGCATAGCGGGTGTTGCACAGGATCTTGACCGCAAATCCCGAGACATCCCGAGGCAAAGGAGAATAATTGCCACCATACTCCATCCCGACAAAGTCACGTTTGATGCCCCGGCAGTATAGTGCCAGCTCCCATCGAGGGTCCTGACGGTCAAATGGGTAAATCTCTCTAAGTTGGGGGGTCTCTTTTGGTGTGCAAGGGTGCCGTACAAATTTCGGGAACAAAAGGGACTCTAAACCCTAAACCCTAAACCCCTAAACCCCTAAAGCCTAAACCCTAAACCCTAAACCCAAAACCCCTAAACCGTGGTACCCACATGGGAGATGGACGCTAGTGGATTTGAAGCCGCGACTCCCTCTGCCCCTCACCAGAGACTCCTATATCCCTTACTTAACGTTGTCATAGTTGGGTAGCATTTTGGATTTTTATGGGTACTTAAACCCAATAAGGAAAAAGAAATTAAGTTTTTAATCCTGTCCAACAACCATGAACACTCCTATATCCCTTACCTGGACCCTAAGGAACCTACCCTTTTTAGGGTTCCCTGATATGATTTCGATATATAAGTCCTGAAAAAGCTAGGTTATTTGGGGTTAAGGTAATGAAGGAGTATTCCTTAAATCAATCATATTAGGGATTCCATTATATGTTAAGGTATATTCCTTAATGAAGGGATATTAGACTCTCTGGGTAACCCCAACTCCCGAATGCTACGCCCCAGACCCGAAATCCTAGACCTTCAACCCTATGCCGTATGGAAATGCGTATACCGTGTGCTCAATTCAGATGCCCTTTATGAGGCTCCATGCTCTAGTTAGATTAAAGGTCCCACGCTAACCCTTTCTGTGAGTGAAAGATCATACGAAGCCTTTCAATCACTCTGGAGAACCGTTACCTAGACCTGGAAAGCCCAAACCCTGAACCCTACGCCCTCACACCTAAACCCTAATCCCTGAACCCTGACCCCTGATACCTAAGCTCCAAGCCTTGAACCCCAAACCCTAAGAGCTCCCCCCCCTGGAGCTCCCAAATGCTTTTCCGCAGTTATAGTGAACCCCAGAAAGTTGGAACATAGGTTTAGGACGATTCATTCTGGGATTCTCTCTACTGTACCTTAAGGGCATGTGGATAATGATGTTCCAACTTTCTGGCATCTACTGTAAGGGAAGTCGGACTCTACGACTCGTTGATACCTAGGGGTTTAGGGTTCAGGGGTTTAGGGTTTAGGGCTTGTTCCTGCTTGGGGTTATGATTTCCTTGATAGGCATCTCCGAAGAAGCTTCGGCTTACCTCCTTTGAAGGGGACCCTAAGCCCCCAAAGCCTAAGCCCTGAACTCTGAGCCCAAAAATCTTGAAAGCCCTAAACCCTAAACCTTAGACCCTAAGCCCTGAACCCGAAGCCCCCAGCCCTAAATCCTGAGCTAGTGACTTGCTAGCAGACGGAAGAAGGCCCTAAAAAAATCCGGCCGAAACAGCTAACCTTTATCCTTTTGGGAGTTACTATATCCCCTTTCTACTCCCAAAGGTTATCTTAGTAGCTGAGTGGATGCACTTTACACTGTTTGGGATAATATTATCCACTATAACACTGAAAGTGTACACTTTTGGGGGCTCATGAACTCAGCAACTAAGATTTAATTTTGCTCGAACGGAGGGTCTGGGAACTGGAATAGGTAACCTTTATCCTTATAAGGGCTAGTATATCCGCTATATTCTCCCAAAGGTTATCATTTAATTTAGTTCGAAAGAAGTGTCTGGGAACCCTCAACCCTCAACCCTGAACCCTAAACCCCCAACCCTAAACCCTAAACCCCCAACCCTCAACCCTAAACCCTCAACCCTAAACCCTCAACCCTAAACCCTCAACCCTCAACCCTAAACCCCCAACCCTCAACCCTAAACCCCCAACCCTAAACCCTCAACCCTAAACCCTCAACCCTAAACCCCCAACCCTAAACCCTAAACCCTCAACCCTAAACCCTAAACCATGGAGTGTCTGGGACCAGGCCTCCGAGCCATCCACCACCTTCTCAGCTTCCGAGACCAGGCCAGGGTTCCAAAAACAGCGTTTTGGGGGCTTTAGGGTTTGAGGAATGGTGTAAGGAAGGGTTTAGGGTTTAGAATTTAGGG